ACACCTGGAGATGTACACACAGGCCTAATCACAGAAATGCTGAGAATCTGCAGAAGGATATATGCCCTCATTATTCAGGGTGACATGGTGAACCCAACAAGAAAGCCTTCATATGTCCGTTGAACACACAATGGAAATGCTTTCCACTGTAACCATGCCAATTAGTTTCTTTTTGCTGCTGTAAGAAATTTATTATCTTACAATTCCAAAATGGTCTCACTTGGTGCAACACACTGTGTCCCGCATAAAATTCCTACGTTGAAACCCTAATCCCGATGTGATGGCATTTGGAAGTTGGTCCTTTAGGAGGTAATGAGATCAGGAGAGTAGAGCCCATAAGAAAAGGCCAGAGAGCTAATTAGCTCTCCTTTTACCATGTCAAGTTACAAGAAGTCAGTTGTCTGCAGCCTGGAAGAGGACTCACACCAGAACCCAACCATGCTGGCCCCAAACTCAGACTTCCAGCCTCCAGACTTAATCCCAGAGAAAGGAGTGTTTCTTGTTTATGTCACCCAGTCTATGGCAAGTTGCTATAGCAGCCCAAACTGACTAAGAACACTGGGCTACAATCAAAGTGTAGACAGGGCGTTGTTCCTGGGAAAATCCATTTCCTCGCCTTTCCCAGCTTCCTGAAACCACCTGCATTCCCTGGACCAAGGCCCCTTCCAGCAAATGCATGACTCTGACCTCTGCTTTTGTTCTCCCATCTCCTCCTCTCTGACTCTCCTGCCTCCCTCTTTCATGTGTAAGAACATTTGGAATTATACTGATCTCAGAAAATTCCTAACTTAACAACACATGCAAAGCCCCTTTAAAGTGACATGTACACAGGTGCTAGGAATTAGAACACAAAGCATAGAGAGAGCTGGTACCCATTTAAAGTAAAGATATTCCAAGTATTCCTAGCCTGGTAGCTCCATTGGTTAGAGCCTCATCCCAATACACCAAGGTTGCTGGTTCGATCTGGTCAGGGTACATACAAGAAGCAACCGATGAATGCATAAATAAGTGGAACAATAAATTGATGTCTCTCTCTCTCTCTCTTTCATCAGTAAATAAATAAGTAAATTTTTAAACATACAGCAAACTGAGCTGTTGGGCTCATACATGGTGAGAACAAAACGGAGTTTCTGCTGAGCTAGCGATTAAGCTGGTGTTAGCCAGTGACAGCCAATCCTAGAATGAACTGGAGAGAACAAGCTACTCTGAAGTCCTACTGCTCTGATTAATGGCCAGCACTTTACAAGAATTTTAAACATGACAACTAAGTGGCAGGACCATTAGGAAAATCTGGATCTCTCTGACTCCTTATGTGTGTTCTTAAAATCCCCATGACAGACTGCCTCACATCCACCTTAAATCGAGGCTGGAAATTTTCTCTATGTCAAACCAAGGCCCTGATATAACAGAGCCGCATCCCCCACTCAGTCCAGCTGGATAAATAAAGAACCTGATGACAGAGGCCAGCACAGAACAGAAAGTAGGCTCAATGCCCAGGCTAAATGCTTTCACGTTTGTCTATAGGAAAAGGAACTGCAAGTATGTGAACTTCATGGTGCATCTTGAAGAGATTGCTTTCTAAGAGAAAGCTCGGGTTAACACATGCAGCTCAGTGTTGATTCGGTCTCAATAAATGTGTCTTCGTGAAGAACTCCTTTTATTTTCTTGAGATCCTCTTACAGACCCTACCTGAGAAGTAAAGTTAAGACATGGTGCCCAGAATGTTCTAAATCAAGTCAGCTGTACTCTTTAGGGAAAAGTTTGCCTTAACAAGGTTTATGTCTATCTAGCTGTTTCTCTTTACACACAGGTAATACCTAAATCAATGTATCTGCTACATGAACTTCCCAGTTATCTATATTATAAAAGGCCAATGGCCACAATGCCATAATGACCAAAGGACCCGTCACCATGAATCATGGCGCACCTCTCAGTCCCTCCCCCGCAGCCCACAGGCTCCAATTGCAGCAAAGCTGGAGGCAAGCAGAGAGCTTGCCTGAGCTTTTTTCCTCAGAGAAATCCTTAAGTCTGACTCAGTCCCCGTGAGAAGTGAGTTGGGAATGGATTCGTATGTTCCCACCTGCACATACTCAGCCCTCCAGAACTGTGTGCTCTTATTTTCACGCCTTCCCACATCTAAAAGGACCATCAGACAACCAGACAGTGAACGTGCAAAGACGATACATGTTTACAAATCACCTCTGTTTCATCTGAGTTCACCAGAAAAAAATTTCAAGAGGTAAAAAAATCATTTTTTTCATGTGATTTACACTCCTGGTCAAAAAAATTACTTACAAGCATTCCCTCTCTAATTGTGTAATTTATTTTCTCCTAAACCATGTAACACAAATACTATCACAAATGACAAACTTCAGGAGTAAAAGTAAGAAAAAAAAAAAAAAAAACCAACACTTTTTTTATCTTAATAAAAGCCCTGGAAAACTTTAACTAAACTATCAATAAATACTAACTGCTCATTCATTTTGTAGACACAGGCCATTGTTTGAAATTCTCTAGCTTTTCACATTTTTTCACTTTGGAAAGGGGAGGTGGGAGGGAGGGAGAAAAGGCAGATAAGGTCTATATAATTTTATCAAGACAGTCTTTCCAGGCAAGGTCTGACATACGAGATAAAATCAGAAAACTGTATTTTATTTTTCTGCTAGGAAAAATGTTATTTTAAAAATATGAATGTCATGCAAGATATCTTCTTCAGCCTTCAATCTAATCTTTCAGTATAGATTTACAGTTCTGCTATATGGACATACGGCCAGTATGTGACAGAATTCAGTGAACTCTGAATATGCTATTCCTTTCTTTGAAGTGTGCATTCATGACTGCTTGCTTTTAGAAAGTCATTCCTTTCTGTGGAAAGCTAACCAACACACCCAATTTTTTATTCCTATTTTGTGATACACCCCTATGAAACAGAACAAGTTATAGAACCAGCTCAAAAAAAAATAATAATGATCACAACTTATCACCATCAATAACATTCCATTTGCCTGCCTCCTCTCACCCTAGCACATTCCTGGTACCTGGGAGGGAAACACCACCCAGCAAGCATGTTCCTCACTGAATAGACCCCAGATGACCAAGTGGAGGTTGCAAGAACTGAATGAAAAAGAGGAAAACTTCATTCGAACAGGAGGAAAGCAGCATGAAAAACAAAAGGTCAGTCAAATGGGGTATTTTTAAGGTGAGCATAAGCATTTTGCATAGAACTGTGTCTATCTGAGGGTAATATCTTTCTTAGACTAAAACAAAAGTCACTAATAAATATCCTTTTGTATCTCTAAATCATGACCGCCAAAGTCTTTCCTCTGTTTAACAGTGTCTGAGCCTTATAAACATGTAGAACCAATACTAACCAATGTGATGAGTTTCTGTAACTCTCTGAGACAGGCCAGTAAGCCAGAACAAAGAATAGAGAAAGCGAGGCAGACAGTTAAACAGTGGTTGAGCTGAGTGCTGACCCATGAACCAGGAGGTCACGATTCGATTCCATCAGAGCACATGCCTGGGTTGTGGGCTTAGTCCCTATAGGGGGCATGCAGGAGGCAGCCGATCAATGATTCTCTCTCATCATTAATGTTTCTATCTCTCTCTTCCTCTCCCTTCCTCTCTGAAATATATATATATATATATATATATATATATATATATATATATATGTGTGTGTGTGTGTGTGTGTGTGTGTGTGTGTTTTAAAGAAGAATACACACACACACACACACACACACATATATATATATATATATATATATATATATATATATATATATATATATATATATTTTGGAGTCACCTAGTAAATCCTATCTTTCCTAAACCAGGGATGCTTGAGAATAAATGATTTGCACTTCTCCCCAACAAGAGGGTAAATAGTTTAAATCACCCTACTCAGGGAGACAGCAGAAATCCAGTTATCATCATTTGCCAACCACACCCAAGAAGAAGTTAAGACAATAAACCTCAATTTGGTACATCGGCATAAAGCCGATGAATATTGTATTGAGATCCTCCTCTAAAACTACCCCTAAATACGCAGCCTTTAAAAGCTCTCAAAGCAAAGGTCCAGCATGCACTCTTTCTCCCAGAAGCACACCCCAGCCTCTTCCCCTCCCCTGGCATCTTTCCCCGCACGCATGCATTTCCTAAATGCTTAGGGACCTCACAGGCTTACAACCAGAGCAGCAGCAAGCAGTGGCAGTTCACTCCAGGCAAACCTCCTGAAAGTGCCCCCACAGCCCCCTTTTCTCTGACTTTTTACTGAGCCAAAGCAGCCCAGCCTAGGTTCATTTCCCCAGCCCTTCCTTGGGTCCCTGTCCCCAGCTTTAATACACATCTTCTAAAACTCACCTGGATTCATGCTATGGAATTTCTACTGCACGAAGTCCAGAACCCACACTCTACCGGCCGGCCCTAGGCAGACCCACTCAGGACCAGGTCCCCTTTCTGGTAACATGACCATCATCCAACAGTCAGAAGACATTCTGAGTTAAACCCTTGTGAACAACTGGCATTGGACACCAAAAGCTTGGTTACTTTTATTACTCATAATCCATCAAGCTCATGAATGCATACCCTTACTTATTTTATAATTTCTCGTCCAACTCCTGAAACTTAGTCACCTTTTCACACTGTATATATTTTTTCTCTTTAACCATTCGCTTTCTTAGAAGGCAATAATATGTCACTTCAATAGACCAGCCAGTTGCCTCCTTAACAGCACAAATGAAAAGTACTCTTGATATGGTTGCAAAGTGGAAAACAGGTAAGCATCTGTGAGGAGGAAGGCTATCATATGAGTTGTGAATCCTGCAACTCTGCAGACTTTTTTGGGGAAATGCAAAGAAATTAGCAAGGAAAACATGGTTAAGGATTTCAAAGTCATTTTCATTTACAAGGACCCTAACTACCTAAAACCACACAGGAAAGGCCTGAGATAGAGGGAAAGTTAAAACCAGAAACATTTAATACGAAGTCATTGTACTCACTGTCTGGTGGCTTCTGTCACAGTAACGCAGCCCAAAATAATCAATCTCCACGAGGTTTATGTGACGGAATACATGGTCAAGGACAACGGAACCTCTCGTTGACTTCTGCAAAAATAATTCACAGATTTATTTTTATATTTAACAAGGTGTTTTGTTATTATCAGTGGGATACAGTTAGTCCTCATCTTTTATTAGCTTCACTCACAACAGGAACAATTTTATTAACCTACAGTTCCCACTATAAGTTTTGCCTCAGTTACAAAGAAAAAAAAAAGGGGGGGGGGGTTAAATAATGTGTATGACAGGAATTGCCTTGGAAAACAATCGTAAAATTGTAGTGGGTATTGAATTAATATAAATGTACTTTCTTGTGGTATTGTGAATTATCTTCAGAACAAAATTCTTTTAATAATGAATCATTTATATAAAGAACATCTAACAAATTCATTAAAAAACACTTATTTTGGTTAAAATCCCACAACTCTTTCACTTTAAAAAGCAATTTTCACCTACAGTGTTACTCTCACAACCAATACAGAAGATATATACTAGTAAGATTTAAATAACAATAGCCAAAGTTTTTATTTTCAACCCTCAACTAATAATCCCATTAGATTAAAAATGTCCAAGTTAATGTTCCGAAAGGCCCTAGTAAAAATATTTTACGGTATCTTACTATCTAATAAAGAGGGAATATGCTAATTGATCCTCATGCTGTCGCAAAGATGGCGGCACCCACGGCCAATGAGGGATTATGCTAATTGATTGCCCTACCATCAAAGATGGTGGCACCCACAGCCAATAAGGAATATGCTAATTGATTGTGCCTCCATCAAATATGGCGGTGCCCACAGCCAATAAAGAATATGCTAATTGACTTCCTTGCCCTAAAAGATGGCAGCACCTACAGCCAATAAGGAGGGAATATGCTAATTGATTTCCATACCCTCAAAAATGGCGGTGCCCAGTCCTCTCAGCCCCCCGCCACTCCACGTGCCTGCCTCTGGAGTCCTCCAGTTCCCTCAGCTCCCCAGTTACCCAGTGCCAACCTGAGGTGCAAGCAAGCCTTGATGGTGGCTGTCCAGCCACCCAAGGCCACACGAGGCTCAAATAACCAGGGCCGGCCAAGGCTTGCACTGCAGGCAGTGGCAGCAACAGAGGTATGATGGGATGTCACTTTCCCCGATTGCCAGGTGGCCACCCACCCCTGAGGGCTCCCGGACTGTGAGAGGGTGCAGACCGGGCTGAGGGACTCCTCTCCTTCCAGTACATGAATTTTCATGCAACGGGCCTCTATTTTGCATATAAGCAAAAACAAAGGGAACATTCCCTTTGGCTGCTTTGTAAATGCTGACACCTATCTAAAAATCTAATCTCTCTTCTCCGTTTCCTATTACATATACAAATTCTTTAAATTAAGTTTTTAATTATTTGATTTAACAGTGGTCACCAACCTTTCAGACCTCATGGACCATCAGTGGTCCAGGGACCACTGGCTGGCAACTGCTGAATAGATTAAATAGCAATTATTCACAAGAGATAAACATTTAATCAGCAAGCACTATCCATATACCACATTAATCTTGACAATAATCCATTTTGATGGTACACATACAGATATGGACATTTCCTTTCTTTTGCCCAATCACTGGCAGATATAACAGGATAGTAAACAAACCAACAGAAAAGCCCCCAAGAAGTCACATATTATGTTAAAGAAGTAGGGCTTTGTCCAGTTGCATTTTCCCTCAGAGACTTCAGGTTGCATGCTCACTCCCGTAGGGTGAGTACTCAATATTGCAGATTTAGGAAATGAATGTCTAACATAAGGGAAATGTTTTGATTAAATGTATTTTAAAAAATAGGTAATAAATGCACACACTGGGAGAAAATAATTCTTATTTCAAATCCCATAGATATTTTGTTTTCCTCTAACTTATGTTGGATAAACTTAACAGGTCCCCTTTTAAAACCCATTAGATTTATAATAAAAAAGCACTTCTATGATGGATCTTTAGGTTGTTGGTATAACAATGCTACATCTAATAAACATGTCTTTGTGCTCATGTGCCTATGCCTTCAGCTAGGGTAAAAATCTGGAAATTACTCATCTGAAGGATATGCATACTTAAAATTACAATAGGCACTGCCAAAAAGACCATTACAATTCATTCAATGAGAGTGTGTTTTTCCACATCCTTGCCAACATTTGCATTGAACAAAATTTTTCCAACTTGATTGAGCAATATGGGAGAGAGGGTAATTGCTCTATCATATATGTGCTTACTAATTAATTGCATTTCCTACCATTTAGGTTAGGCATTCTCTAACCCAAATTTAATGAGCAAATTTTATTAAGTATTTCTAATACAACCTTAATTAGTATATTTAGCTCTTCACTCTGTCTGGAAGTTATTTTTGTGCTTGTGATAAAGGCCTAAATCTGTCTCAAAATGGATAGACAACTGCACCATCTTTCACTTAGGAAGGCCATAATTTCTTTGGATTTGAAACAACTTTATCATCTACTAAATGAATCCTCATTCAATTCCATGAATTATTCCTAGACCAATCCTCTATGACTATAATGGGTTTAGTTTAATTTGTTGATTGTTTTTCCAAAATTATCTTTGCCAATTCTTAGACATTTTTTTCTACTAGAGGAAGTTTAGACCAGCTTGCCAATTTGACAAACAATTCTGTTGGAAATCTGACGAATAAAATTTAATTGACAGAAAGGGGGGGTGATATCTTGTATGGTTTTCTTTTATATCCTTCAAGGAAGATTTATGCTTTTTTTTTCATGTAGGTCTTATAAAATTCTACTTGGATTATGTGGCAGGCAGAATTTATAAAGTGGTCCCCACCAATTCTTGAGCCAGTTTTCCAGCATTTTTGAAACAGTAAACATAAATAGCCAGGCAATCCTCCCTTGCCCTGTGAGAACAATGACTATGTAGGTTTGAGCCCAATAACCAAGCCAGGGTCCCTAGTAAAAATCTTGAGTAAGAGTATAGGAAATTTAAAGGGTACACTATAAATATCATCACGAATACAGTTTATCATAGGGATGTGAGTGCATCAAGCAGAACTCTTGGTAGCAAACAATAAAAGTTGACTCTGAATTTACTGGAAAGACACTGGGCGCCTTGCACTTCTATAAGATCACCTGGATGGTTGCTTGGGTCTTCGCCTAATCCCAGTACATAAACAGCCACTAAATTTGGAGCAATTTTTAATCTACCATTACTTCCTTCCATTGTTCTGCCCAAGTTTTGGAGTATGGTTTTCACCTTCAGTTGTTTCACATTTGTTCTTTGCCTCAAAAAATGTTTTTAATAGTTTCTGGCCAGCTGAAATCAGCCTTTCTTATTTTCCAGGGTCTACTTTGGAAAATACACACATATCTTTCCTGTTACTTCAAAATATTTCTGGAAGGCTGGCATATGAGGCTAGTGTTCCATCTTGATCTAATCTCCTTAGGTTCTTTCTCCGATCAGGCACAGACAGGAACACACAGAGTAACTAGATAGAGCCACTCCAACCTACTTCTCCTATCCAGGTAGGTAAAGGAATGCTTCATAAACAAAAGGAGAGTGAATTATCCTTTAACATATAGCACTGAAATAGGGGCAGATTTAAAAATAATATATATGTGTGTGTATATATATATATATATATATATATATATATTTAAGTCTGTGCCATTTCACTGCTATAATTATATGTTATATTATATATAATTTACATATAAATAAATTTATAAATCAATTTATATGTGTGTATATATACGTATATATGTGTATATATATACACACATATAAATATATATATATCAAGGTTGTCTTTATGAAAAATATTTTATGCTTCTACTTCCACAAAAAAAAAAAATGTTAGCTTTTTCATGCAGTCTACTTGTAAAGTACAAAAAAGACATAATACTCTACTCATGAAGAACATACAGAAAAACAAACTTAAAAAACCAGTTTAGTAGTTTGGAAAATATATAGAAATTGCAAAAATGTCATGCATTGGAGAAATCACCATTTTCCAAATTATCATTCCAAAAATACCAGAACATAGCCTGTCGATACTCTGCAAACAGTTTTGCATTTATATAGAATCTGGTGCTGAAACTTCTTTACAAATATCACCCTTCAGCATATTTGTTACCTTGTACAGAGAAACCACAAGGGAAGCATGTAGCATTATGCCATGACTCCAGAGCTGACCTATGAGGAAATAGGGTGCCTCGTGATGCCCTGAATAGCTGTCTGTATTACAGGTGTGTCTAACACACCTGGAACATAGCCAGGTGAACCTCAGAAATACTATGGTTCTGTCAATACTTCAAGCACACATGAATGTGACAAGCGTTTAATTCTCATCTGTCATCCTGTCACATGACAGAACTCAGAAAGCATGGATGCCAGCAGTAGATTAGCTACCAGGTAGGGGGTGCACACCACCAGCTCACAGTTCCGCCAGTCCTGCCTAACGGACCCCTCCTGGAATTCTCTGTTTGAATTTCATTACAATGCTCTCTGCAGCTACACGTATGAACAATTTCATTCTTCATGTGGGTTCCTCATAGAAACTACCTCCGGGCTATCTTTGGCAGTTCGAGTTGAAAGTCTTCATGTTAAAAAGAAGTGACACTTGAATAAAAAAAATTAAGAACCAACAGGGAATTGGCATAAGTGCCAAAGAACACACTAGAAACATCCTGGGTAAGAAACAGGTCAGTTTTGGGATTTATTACTAGAGAAAAGAACAAGTACCATCAAGGATATTATAAAAGAAAGAAGACTTCATTCGTTCAAATATTTATTGATTACCTGTTAATGCCAGCAAATGATTAAAAAAGAAAAAAAAAAGTATACTAATAAAAAGGCGAGAAAAGAGCAAGATGTGGCTAGAAGGCAATACAAAGAGCCTCTATGGTGGAAGCATTGATTGGCCCATCAGAACCCTAAAGGAGCCCTGGGGCCAGAGTGACTAAAACTTCTAAGAAACTTCTAGAAAGTGAGACAGGGAAGGAGGTGGTTTTCATCAGCTTTGTGTGTGTGTGTGTGTGTGTGTGTGTGTGTGTACATCTGACTAGC